TTTGATTGGATAGCATTTGGGAAAACTCGATGTTCCGAAATAATTTCAACATTTGAGTTTCTTTGAATCTCTACGGATGAACCAGTTGAATGGAATTGATGGAACCCCCAGCCAGCTCTCGCCCTAACCCTCGATATTTGTTCAATTTATTCAACAGTGCGTGCACCTTTTGAAATATCAGTGAGACCATTCTTTTCTCTTGCAATACTTCTCATATAGTGGACATTAGTACCATATGCAAGGGTCGATGGGTTTCGCTGCACCAAGGCCACAAACAGAAGCAATGAATTTCCAGTCCCCCTCCCCCCTTAAAAACCACTTAATTTAAAAAAAATAGTGGTCCCAGTTAAATTTGCTGCAGAGATCTCACATCTTTACTTATATCTACCAAGGATTGTGGCAGTTTCTCATAGTTTTCTGCCTCTCTTATTACTGCAATTAAATTATTGCCATGAGCAGACATTGTTTTTCCATCCTCGTTCAGCATAGTAAAGGTCACGTTGATAACATGTAACCTCTTTACAATTTTTGTGCCATCTCCAGATAGTTTTACTCTAATTTTACGATCAAGTTTGAAAGCTGCTGTTGGTACTTTTTATTGAACATTTTCACTTTTTAAAAGGATTTCTTGCTTTAGTGTTGGGAGTCCTGTGCCTCCCATAAGGCATAGCGAGCTCAGAGTAAACACGAGGAGAAATGAGTCGACATGATTTTTGTTGTAGTTTTTCATTAGCTTGACTGACAGCGGATCCTAAAGCTCCTACACAATCCATGTGCAAGTGATCTCAATTGTTTGAAGTTTATAAATAAATTGTGGATTTGCGACTACAGCTGCATTTGAGGGAGTGTTTTTTAATTCAAGTCTGTAATCTAGTCTGATTTCCAACCTCTCCTCAACACACTGTTGGACTCCATTTGTGTTACCAGGTGATGGATGTCAATTCAATTTCCTATTCATTTCCCTAATCCTTTCTTGAATTTTCCAAGATCTAGGCAGATGCTTGCATATTATTGTAAGTTCATGGTATGCTTCATTTGAAATATCAAACCTCTCTTTGGTGTAAAGAAATAAAGGATTTTACATGGCCACAAATGGATAGGAATTTTAGCTTCGAGCGCTGTAAGTACCTCTCATGAGTGAGCGAAGTGAACGAGTTAGAGATACTTTCAGCAAAGAATATAAAATTCATATCCCCAAGCGGCCACGCAATGTTATGTTTATTTTATAGATACTGATGAATATTTTCACATAAAACACGACATTTTTTTAATCATTTTCGAAATAGCAAAATAGTGCAATTAAAGTGGTCAGCTATCGCAAATTGCCTGTCACAAAAATGTTATGAAACTCGGACGTAAAGTTATGAAGGAGAATAAAGACAATAATACTTATATTTTCTGTTCTAAAAGGTCAAAATGTTAATGAAGAAGAGAAAATTCTATAACAGCTAAAGGGTATCATGTTAGTGACCATGGCGACACCAATATCCTCACACGTGAAAGATAAAAATAGTATCTTCACTGCACGCGATGAAGATATGATTTTTTAAGTTAAAAGAAAAATCCTGCTATTTCATCAGTATCTCTAAAATAAGTAANTAGGTCCAAGTTCATTAGATGAATCGAACGAAGAAAAACAGCTTGACGACCAGAAAATTTATTCATTTAATGAAGAAAATAGAAACAGCGACACAACAACGCGCCAATTCTGTTGCGCTTCACATACTTCTGTCACGCACTCCCCGTAGATAAACATCCGCGAAATTCCCCCGCACTGAAAGAACAGTTTGGCGTGTAGGATAATAAATAATTTATTAGATCTTTTGTTGTGTAGCATCGCTGAGTATTTTTACTCGCTATTTTTATTTTGACTCGCCCTACGGGCTCGTCAAAATACGGCACAACTCGTAAAAATACCCAGCGATACTAAACAACAAAACGTCTAATAAGATATATTTAGTCCACCTTAGGAAAAGAGCTTTTTTAACCTGTTGAGTCCTTTGATTTTGGCTTTCGCAAGTGCTTGATTTGGTCTCCAGATCTTTGTTTTAAACTGCTGTACAAGTCTAGAATTTACCATCCCTCTAGGGAACATTGCATTTCTGGCACCTTTCCCAATTAGAATCTTTCAAACAGTCTCCTCAAGGCGGGCTGTCCCTCTCATCTGTTTCTTCGGATGTGATATTCTGAAAGCCCGATTTACGGATATGTTTTTACATTTCTAGATAGAGTAATAGCTAAATGACTTAAATCCGTGCATACATCTGAAGAAAGTAACTGATAACTTTGTGTAATTCTGCAATTTCCTCAAATATTTTGTCATTTTAACAAATATTTTGTGTTAAAATTCGGAGGCTGGGGACGAGTATGAAAATTTGAAGCAAAAGGTCAACCAATTTTTTGCTATGGACGGAGAAGAAACCACAAAACCAAATGAGTGACAACCCGTATGTTGTTCGCAAGCAGGCTTTTATAGACCAATGGTCGTTGGACAAATTTGCTCGTTATGACTTTCCACCTGACCTCCCAGTCAGCGGTGCGCGCAAAATTATGCTTGGCATGTACACGTAAATAAGTATATTCGAGATACGACAAAAGTTGAAAAATTACGCGATTTCACTTTAAAGCGACTTGTCAGTGCTTCCAAAGAGTCATGAAAGTGTAATAGCACGAGTGTAAATTACAAGTAACAAACAAAACTCAATACAGAAAGA